TTGATCTCACGTCCATTTTGTTTCATTCAGTTACATGTTATTTACAGCTATGCAGCATGTGAGCCAATGATTCTCGGCGTCATGGCCTATGACAGATTTGTGGCTATTTGCCAGCCCTTACACTATCACAGTAAAATGACCTTGAGGACGGTGACATATCTTGTTCTTTTTGTCGTGCTCTATCCTGCATTTGCTGTTGGCTTCTGTGTCTATCTTACTGTACGACTGCCTCTGTGTGGAGATAAAGTGCACAGGCTTTTCTGCTCCGTGGTTCAGCTCTCCTGTGTGGACACAACTATGAACCGTGTAGTAGGATCTGTGTTTACCATAATGACCTCTGTCATCCCCCTGTTCTTTATCCTGTTCACGTACCTGCGCATCCTGCTTGTTTGCAGGAGAAGCTCGTCTGAGTTCAGAGGAAAGGCGTTACAAACCTGCCTGCCTCACATAGTCTCATTTATAAACTATTTTTTCTCTTTATTCTTTGAGCTTTTCCTGAGTCGTTTTGGGATTAATGTGAACCCCGTTGTTGTTGCTGTATTATCTATGGAGCTTGTCATCATTCCCCCCATTAATGACCCTCTAATCTACGGCCTGAGTCTGCCTCAGATCAGAAATGTGATTTTCAGATTTCTTAAGATACACAAAACGATTCCTGCTGCATAATCCCAAACCCAACAGGCAGAGACTGATGTGAATGAAGCTTTAATTCTCTGTTGTTTCTGTAATGTGCCTCTAAAATATAGTAACTCCAATTTAATTTCTTCACATTTATTTCTGACAAATCCAAATATATGTCAAGCAAATAACTGCCACCCCTTTCATATTAAGTAGAATAATTCGATTCAGTTTTATTTATAAAGCCCAATATCACAAATCACAATTTGTATCAGAGGGCTTTACAAAATAAGACATCCCTCTGTCTCACTGCAGATTAAAAAAAAAAAAAAAGCTCCTCAGGAAGAGCAACTGAGAGAGGGAGACTGAGATGCACAGTAATAACAACTATAACAATAAATATAAATAATAATGATATTGGTATATGATAGTATATGTTATGTGTATGCATTAATTAAAGCTGTCAAATTATTTTCTATTGTGATTAATCACTGAATTTCAATAGTTACTTATGATTAATCACATGTTTCAAATTCTGCCATTTTGTATTTCAGATTCAGTTTTAAAGTCCATATTAACAAGGTGAAGCAGTTCTTAACCCAGTGCCTTGATTGGGAATCAAATAAATGCAAATAAATGTACTTTCTGATCTTGACTATTTGATTGATTTATTTCAAATCAGTGCTGCACTGCAGTGGGGTCTCAAAACAACTCACTGTCCTGTAAAGTTTGACTGATTCAAAACACACATTAACAACATGGTTTAATAGAAACAGTATCACAAGTACACAAGTTGGCTGGTTCATTATAACTCACAAGATTCACAGACAAAACACTTGTCTTCTGCTGGAAACATTTTCCCCACAAACACAACATGCTATTAGCACAAACCTATGGCATTTTACATTGTATAAATTAGCCTAGTTCCCCCGTGTGTCTGGCAGACTTTTTCTTCACTCACATGAAGCCAGGATAAATCACACAGAGAACTTTAAATGCAGGTCTGCAGTCAGTTTACACAGGGATATGTCCCCTGCACTTTGGTCCTGCAGTTTTGGTCCTCTGCACTGTTTACCTTCCAAAAACAAGGTTGCACGCTAATAAACTGAGACACGTCAAGCACTGGGACCACACGGAAAAAGGCCGCTCAGACTGAAGCCTGTCTTCCTTTAGAGGGCATGATGAGAACCCCAAGAGCAAACAAGAGCACAATGAACTGAAAAATAACACCAGAAAACAAACTAGAAGGAGCACAATGAACTGAAAAATAATACCGTTATAGAAAACTACTTGAACTTCTAGAAAACGCAGGGAACTAAAGGGGGTGCTGTACTGGGACATAAGAGTTTTATTTTTATTTTAAAAGTTTATTTTTTTCATGCTTTGTTATATATTAACTGAAGGGGGTGCTGTACTAAGAAATACAAGATTGAGTTTTATTAAAACGTTTATTTTTGCATTCTTTGTTATATATTGACAGAAGGAATTTTACTGTTCACTTTACACATTTTGCTTTATTGCACAATCTTTATTGTTTCTATGCACAATTTCTCAATTAATTTAATGTCTTGTGACTGAACCTTTAATTACAGTAAAAGTAACTTTAAAAAGGTGTCTGTGAAATTTCTGTCTATGACAACTTTGTATTTAAAAAGCCTCTAGGCTGTAGTTTTATACATATTTTGAACTTCATATTGCTTTGAGGTGTAGGGCAGATATTCATTAATTCAAGCTTTATTTTAACTCGAAATTACACTGAGGGACACCCCTTATTTCCAGTATTGTCAAGCAATATCAGGGCACTGTTCAAGCAATAGGTGACAATTGACCTATGGCTAAGCCACGCCCAAACTATCAACATTCAGTGA